TCATTAGTTTGCTTTTGTTTGTTTTAGTTGTAGTACCCCCCTTTCCAAAATGAGAAGCTGTCTGTAGGTAATTCTATCCTGTTTTTAATTCCAATGGTAAACATTTCACCATCGCTTCTCTTACCTCTCCGCAGAGACAGCGGTCATGGTGTAAATGCTGACAAACATGGCAGTAACAGGAACAAAATTATGAAAACGGCAGAATCCCTCGTCAAAATACCAGACATTATGACAGGCATAAATAAAATTAAAAACTGTGTTTAGTGCAGTCATAAGCAGATCGGAAAGAGCCAAGTTCACAATAAAATACTTGGTGACTGTTCTCATTCGTCGATGGGACAGGATAATCCAAATGACGGTGGCATTGCCAACAATCGATGCTGTGATTATCAATAAGTAGACAATGGCCCAAAGTGCAATTTGCCATCCAGGCTGGTCAAACGTAGTCATCTCAGTCAAATTAACATCACTTTCAAAAATCCGATCCATGGAAGCATTCTTTATGCTTGAGAAGGAAATCATTGTCAGTTCTTTCTTCTGCTCAAAACACCCCAAAAAACCCAAACCAAAACCAAGAAATTGGCTGCAATTGACTCGATTTGAGGATTTCAGCCTTTATCAACAGAATAATGAGTTCATCATAATTTTGTAGATTGAATTTAGAAGCATTTGATTCATTGCATGCTGGTTTTCAGTTGATGCAAATAAGTGAGATGAGACGGCTGCTCTTTAACATTCATGTGCTGCTCTTTTTCATTCATATCCCCATAATAGGTGGCGAAAGGAATTTTCTTAAAAATGTTTGTGTATGTGTATGTATGTGAAAGATAAAGCGAGAGGAGAGATAGAGACAAAGAGAGAAAGATTAAAGAAGATACTGATAATGCAGCATGGAAGGGATAAGACTTTAGTTTGCTCTTCCTTTGCAATTCAGACCATTATGGAAGCAGCCAAATAGGGGTGGAAAATCTACACTGGCGTTTCAAAAGGAGGTGGAGAAACAAGAGAATACAAAATTATACATCAAATCAGATTTCAGAAAACTGGTTCCTGGTTGCTCTGCAAAGTTGTTGCATTAATCTCCGTTGACTCTACCCCCCTCACTTAAAGTGAGAAGTCTCACAGATTTTACCCTACAAGGATCAAAATTTCATTCCTTGGGTTGACTTTTTGATTTCCGTGGGAGTTTCAATAAGCAGAACTTGGCCTCTGTAGAACACCATAAATTTTGCCAGAAGAGCTTGTGAACAGCTCCAAAGCCAAGATACAGAAGACAGGAAAATGATTCAGAAGTCAGAGGAAAACCCTTATTTCAAAAAATCTGCCTGCTGACTGCTCAGTGGGACTCTCAAAACAGTTCTAGGCACTCCCAGAAAATGTATATTGTAACCAGGATGTCCTGCAGGATATGTTGTCCCTACTGTAGATTCCTAGAATATATTTTCTGCCACCTCTGTACTCCCAAACTCAAAGGGCTCTTCAGAATGTTATTCTAAAACAGAATCAGCTAAGGAAAAACACGTAGGCTCTTCTCCACAATATGTATGGATAACATCAACCCCTTTTGTGGGAATTTGTGACAATATGCTTCTATCAAATAATCTTATATATTGCATTAAAGTTCAATCAGGTCAGTTAATAATTACATTCACACATCAAGTGTGGTTGGTTTAAAACATGGTTAGCTGTTTATGGTTTAGCATTCTATAAGATTATCAAGTTTTTTGTGGTCCAATGTATTGTGCAAATCCAGAAAAACTGGTTAATTCAATATCCATGTTCTGTAAGCCTAACCGGTGCATAGTGATTGCAAAGAAAGCTCTCAACGTAAAAACACTACTCCCACTAGCAGATTAATACAACTAAAACAAACAAAAGCAAACTAATGAACTCAAGATTAAAGGAGGAAGTTGTGTTAGCTTAGGACATAGCATGTTACCTATCATGCTGCATTTAGTTTAGTTTAGTTTATTGATCTTGTATGCTGCCCACTCCCGAAGGACTCCGGGCAGCTTACAATAAACAAGGGAAGGGGATAAATAAACAAGACAACACCTTAAAATATGCAACATTTACACAGTTATCGTGGGGCTGGATATTTCACAAGCCCCCCGGCCTGCTGGAGCAGCCAGGACTTGGTGGCTTTGAGGGTAGTAAGGGTCCGAATCTCCACGGGGAGGTCGTTCCAAAGGGCTGGGGCTGCAACAGAGAAGGCTCTCCCCCGGGGAG